AGTATCCTCAGTTCCTCCCTTGACAATTCTAGCATATGCCCCAGCAGTATAGACACATTTTTTATCACAAGTGACAGTTTTGATACATACAGAGCCTAGTCACAGATACTTTTTAAACTGAACCTAGTCATGGATATTCTTTTGCCTGTGTTCTTTCATATTTTCATTTTCCCACTTAGCCATTAGCACACTTCTCCCTTTCACAGTGATAACTCACTCTTGTAGTGACCTGAAATTTTACTTTGAATGTTTATTCTTTTGAAATGAACCAAGGTGTCTCTGGGAGCACAACAGCACGTTCATGAGCATCAGCTGAGGTACAACAGATGTCCCATTTGTGTTCAAGTTAAAACTCCATTCATCTCCTGCTCAAATACTGTCTCCTTTGCCATGGAACAGGTATCTGAGCTAGCACTGCTGTCATCCTGATAAAAAAACCTTCTCTGCTGACACCTAGGATGGGTGAGTGACTGCTTTCTTGGCATTTTTCTCCTTGCTGCCCCAGCTCACACTGGCTGACACAGCACACTCATCTCTGTGTGCTTTACCTGCTTGGCTATTTGTAATACAGCAGTGTCACTACAGCCAAGGGAAAGGAAAAGTAGTTTTCCAAAAAAGGTTGCTAGAGGGAAGGAATAAACCAACAAGTAGGCAGTGGAAATAAGGAGGAGGTATCTAAACTATTCTAATAGCTCTTATTCTGACTACCAGGTAGGCAGTAACATGGATCTCCTAGAGCTCTCTTTGTCTCAAGCTTCAAAGCTGCTGCTTCCAGCCAGTATCAGCTAACATGCTTTTCCTAGCAGGAATCAATACATCAGTTGCAAATGCCCTGCTGGATCCAAGAACATTTCAGTGTCATACATAGAAATGATATTAAAAGAGACAGCAAAAGCAGAGCATTAAACCTCCCGCACTAGGTAACAACTTCAGTGTCAATAAAATGAAAGATGATACGGTAAAACTAAGTACTACATTTCAACTTTTTAATATTTGGCCATGTCTGCAAACACTGCAATCAAATCCATACATGTGTGTGCTGCAGGGCAGTAGGACCAGGGTCTTGTGCTCCCAGTGCCAAGCTGCCCCAGCCCACCTCAGTGCAGCCAAGGAATGCTGCTGTCCCTGTAAACAACACGAGGGAACTGGTTTCCAAACCTCCACGAGCTCTGCTCTCCAGAGAGCTCTCTAGGGATTCTCAAATCTGGGCCACAGCCCAAATGTCTGCCTTCCTAGAAGGCTGGGGAGCTGCCTGCCCTGTGTGCAGCTGCACACTCTGATTAGAAAAGGAGGCCAAACCTGGGCTCCTTTATACATTTCAAAGGCCTGAGATAGTTAAATCCACATCAATTTAATAGAAGCTTTTTAAAGTTTTTGACAGCTCCATTCTAAATCACTGATAAAAGCACCACCATAATGGGGCACAGCAAACTGTTGTCTGCAGAGGAAGAAAAGGTGCCCTTATCACCATCTACAAGGTAATCTTTTAAATGATGAGTTCTCTATTCAGTCTGGAAAATCAACATTCCAAGTCACAGAGTGTTTCTCTGATGGAGATCTCTCTGTTTGCCTCAGGCTTCTCCTTCCCCTGCTCTTTACTTCTTTTTGAGGATGGACTGAGGCACAAATGCAGGTATTTAGACCAGTCTCAAATTTGTATGCAAGATGTGCATGAATATGGGGAGGAAAAGCTGAGTCAGAGCTCTCCACAAAGCATCCAACATCTGGCCAGTGCACTTTGGTATCCTGACATGGTACTTATCAACAAGGTGAAACCTTCACTATACCCCTGATAATGGTATGAAAGGGAATATAATTTCTTTGTAACCTTACTGTAATCCATTTACCTGAATTATTAAAGCTTAAAGGAAACAATGCTTCTGCAGCTCAGTACTCCCTCTGGACCAATCTCATTACTAAACTTTCATATCCGATAAAGATTTAATATATTTTCATTTAACACATAAATTTATTATCAGCCATATATTATTTCCAATAATATTTGTCCCGGGGAACAAAAATAAGAGGTAATTAGTACAGCTTGATCTTGCAGTGCATTTTTTAGCAGACTACTGTGAGCAGGTTCTGTTGCTCATCATACAGAGATAAAGAACTTCTCACTTGTAGCTCAAATGAACACATTTCTTTCAGAATAAATATTTAACAGGCTACAGGAGGTAAAACAGTACCAAAGGGTAGTGGTTTCCTTATTAGTGGTATTTTAATTCAAAGAATGAAGGACAAAAAGGGGCAAATGAAGTAAGGATGGAAGACTTGCAACCGTCCCATAGCTGTGCTATCTTGGACTGAAGACATGGGGGATGCAGCAGCTGACATGGAGCTGCACATTGAGTTGCCACCCTTGCACCTATTCTATGGAATTAACAGATCCAGCTCTTCTGAGAAGGCTATCCAAAGCCATGGAAATCAAACCCAAGTCCTAGCTGATCAATCCACAGGAGTCAATGTTTCACAGAGGTGAAGAAAAGGTATTGGGTACATATGAACATGAACAAAGATACAATCAGTAGAGGGGACAATAACCAATTCAGCTTCTTTTCCCTTATTTACAACACCAACATTTTAAGAGG